GCGGTCGCGACGATTTGTGGCAGGCTGACGTAGTCGAGATGCGTCCTTACGTACGATTCAACAAAGGTTACAGTTACATTTTAACAGTTATCGATGTTTTGAGTAAATACGCATGGGCACTATCACTCAAGAGCAAGAACGGAGCGGTAGCCGCAACGTTATCTAAAATATTTTGCGAAGATGAACGATACCCGCGAAACCTGCAGACGGATCAAGGAAAGGAATTTTACAACTCCACTGTGCACAAAATTGTGCAGGGGCGCAACATAAATCACTATTCGACGTACTCGGTGATAAAAGCGTCGGTAGTGGAACGATTCAATCGCACACTCAAGAATAACATGTGGAAACTATTTACGTTAAACGGCTCGTACAGATGGATCGACGAGTTACCGCGTCTACTGTCGAATTATAATAACCGTAGACATCGGACCATCGGAATGCGGCCGATAGACGTGACACCCGTCGTTGCAAAGCGGCTCTTATCAACGGTATACAGTCACGTAAAAATTGCCGCCCCAACGAAATTCAAGACAGGTGATCCAGTACGTATTAGTAAATTCAAAACAATTTTTGAAAAAGGTTACACACCTAATTGGTCCACCGAGATTTTCTACATCGTTAAAATACGACATACAAATCCTGCAACGTATCTGTTAGAAGATTATCAAGGAAAACCGATAGCTGGTGGATTTTACGAACACGAATTACAACGAGTCTCCAATCCTGACGTTTATCTCGTGGAAAAAATACTACGCAAACGAGGAAATAAAGTGTACGTGAAATGGCTGGGAATGAACAGTTCGCATAATTCTTGGATAGATAAAACGAATGTATTGTAAATTTTTTGTTTTTATTATATAAGTTTTTTTATTACAATAAAAAAGATGCGTCACACACACATTACAACGGTATTTTATAATGTCCCCAAGGTAGAGTAGCGACCGAATCGGGTACGACGTACCGCTTATCGTCATACGGACTGAGAGCGAGTTTCAATTCAGACACCGTGTAGACCTCGTGCAATGTCGATCGTATGCACGACTGCCGTCTCAGCTGTTCCATTACGTCATTCAAACACCGCGTGTAATCGTCGAAAGTGATCGTTTTCGCGACTACGTTTTTCTTCACACCCTTTATTCTCTTCGTATCGCTTCTCCCGATCACTCTAAATGCGTACATCTTCGCTCTGAGTCCTACGAATTCCGTCATAATCGCACCGTTATTTTCATCTTTCATCAAACCGTGTATTTTGGTATTAACGCGTGGAATATCATACGCGTTTCCCTCAGGGTAATCGCTCGTGTCGAATCTCGCGATATCACGCTTGATATTCTCGTATACATTTTCACACTCCAAAAGATATATCAAGCTGTCAGTGTCCGTGTACATGATCTTATACTTATCGCGATACAACGGTATTACGTAATCGTAGTGAAATTCATACAGACGCATCTTGGATATTTCGAGAATGCACATACCTACGTATATCGGTTTGTTCAATTTTACCTCGAGTTTGCGCATTTCGACAGCAATTAGATCTTCGGAAAAGACACTTCTGCTGTGAAAGTTCGGTTTCGCTATCATCGCTTCCGCACCGTATCTTCCGTCCCAACGCGTTACGAGTCGAACGTCAACATGATCGCGTACGTTCTCCATTGTTTTTCCAAATACCGTGTTATTCATCAATTTGTAAAGATTCTTCTCGAATTCGTTATTCGCGAGCGTTCTGAATCTCGTATTGAGTTCGATGTATCCGCGAAGCCATGGGGATTGTGCGAATTGTAATATTCGATAAATTTTTTTCACGTATAATCCGTGCTGAATGCATTGTTGTAAATTGTGATAGTACGTGACATAGCGCTCCTTATCGTAGAGTGTAGCCAGCAGTTTATCATTTCGTTTTCCAGGTCGTTCGCGAATGGGACAGAATGGAAAGTCAGTATAAGCGTCATGAACGCTTTGCGGATACGCAAAGTCGACTTCTAGAATATAACCGATAACGGAGTCTGACGACACAGACATTACGTCAAAGCGCTCGACGTCATCGAAATTCTCCATACGGTAAGGATTCGGACATCGCCCAACCGTACAAATTATTCACATCGAAGTACATGAGGTACGTCGAGGGTTCCGAAGGATCGTACGAAGGTGCATACTTGTTATTAGCTCGCACATACCTATGCGAACCTTGACTTAAACCACCGCGTATACCACGCTCCACAAACATCACCATGTCGATCTCGGTGAGCAATTCGAATCGAATACCGGTGTATTTCAACATAGCGTCCCACGTGTATCCCAGTAGAGTGTAATAATACGTCGGATCCAAGCCGTAACTACGTCTCAAGACGTATCACGAAAATTTTCGAAAACGTCTGCCAATAAAAGCACATCCGTCTTGAGATACAAATCGCTGTAATCACCGAGAGTCTTTATGCAAAAGCGTCGCCAAATGTTTGTCGCGTATTGATAATCGTCCTCGGAAACGACTTCGTCGGTTAACGAACTGTAAAACGATTCGCGCGGCGGTAAACTAGTCTCATCCAGCTTATCAACGCTGTTGACGTACTCGTACGGAAACGCTCCTTTACGCGCAAGCAGATCAAAATCCTCGGTGTTAAGATTGCGAAATTCCGACCGCGTAATTGTCAATTTACTCTTGTCGAGATAAGATACCAATTTCTCGAAACTAGTACTGAGAAATTTAAAAGAATCCACAAAACGCAGTTTCACATTGTCCATTCCCCACTTGACTTTCGCCGTATCCTTGACATATTTCGTAAACGATATATAATTTTCTTTCGTTAACAAATACACGCTACCCTCAAAACTGTTAGCGATATCTTTTATGATAAAATGCGCGTCATAACCCGACAAGTTATGAAAAAACACAGGAATAACGTACGACTCTCGATAATTTAAATTACAATGTGAATGCGCGGGACCTCTGTAACGTCCGATTAAATGACAATGATCGCGTACGCGCAAATCTCCTTCCTCGAACGGTCTTTCACAGATGTGACAATGAGGCGCGTCTCGAAATTTTTCCCACTCGTCCGAAGTAAGCCCTGTCATAGTAACGTTCTTATTAAATATCGTTTTCGCGCGATGCGCCAAATCGTATAATTCATTGACAAACCACGATACGCAATCCTCACCGCGACGAGATCTGTATACCGACATAGTTTCATCGTATGCACAACGTATGTAATAGCCTACGCTGAAAACCCTGTGATGTTGATAGGTGAACCTCGACATATTTTCATCGCTGGTCTTCTTCTCCAGTATACACTCCAAATCGGCGTAAACCACAAAGGGAAGTCGCTCCTTTTTGTTATGATTACGGTTTCGTTTGACAACCACTTGTCGTCCTCGTTCGGAAGAATAATAGCGCAATCGTTCGTCGTAGCACAGTCAACGACGTGAAGCGACAACTTCTCGCTCGTATGAAAATAATGTAGACATCTGTAAAAAAGAACAATTCATAACACGTTACACAACTTTTTTTATCGCTCTGTATAAAAAACACACTTAATTATTCTTACCTACCTATCACACAAATACTTCTTTTTCGTATTCTTGCTCAACTGGGAACCTATCAATCGTGACAGATTTTTAATCCATGTGAAATGACCGGTGACGTTTTCGCCGCGTCGCGAATCTTGCAGATACAACAGATTTACGTGTTTTTCTCTCTTGTCTTTGGTGAGACGAAGAGGAACGATTATGTTGTCATCTTTTTTCCCATCTCTCTCTCGTTCGGTAAATACGTTGATAGATATATCGTTCAAGCGTTTAAATTTCGTAATTTGTTTCAAAATAACGGGAAACTCGATACCTTCGAGCAGCAACACGTCCGAATAATGTGGATACTGCGATAATCTGTGCGCGTGACTATTGGTTGGATACAAAGCGGAAACTAACGCCCACGTGAAACACGCGTTATCCATTGAGTGAAAATTAATTACTGCTCTCTTCATTTTTATATATTGAGGTACATCCACCCAACATCCCGCATGCATAGGAGTGTATTTATTTATATTTACAATTAGATTCAGTATGCGTGATAGCGCTCATCCACTGTCGCGTTCCTGAAACTTCTCCAGAATTGCTAAAATATCATTTGTCACGTGTTTATCGTATCACTCTCGCAGATCGGACGCAGCGAAAAACTCGTAATTTTTCGTAGTGATACTCTTAACAGATCTCTTGACATCCGCGACGAACTCGCCGTTGAATATCATATTTACTTTTAAGCAAACATGTCTCTGAAGATTATCGCGTATCCGATCGAGAACGGTGTCCCTTGCGTCATCGAGAAATTGTCGAGGCTCGATATAACTCGAATTTAACACCGCACCAGTCAGTACGCGATTATTGAAAGCTGTTTCGATTTCCAACCATGAAAATTCCCTCTTTTTCGATTCGACTCGAGCCCACGTGTTCAAAACGTTACCGTAACGTATTTCTCAAATCTTCCAATCATGCTATTCGAGCGATCGACGCATTTACAACTCCAGTAGATATTCGTCGACGTTTGTCATTTCGACACCTCTCCCGCAAGAGGTCGAGACACTCGTCGCATTTTTGCTCCCATACTCTGTACACGTCTACCTTATCGATGCTCGTCGCACGATGAAAAAGATCCTCCACCTCCTCCTCCATCTCTTTATATTAAATTACTGCTCTCGCTTACACATAAACCAGAACGTTTCACCATAACTGTCTAAAGGTACGTCTAATTTAATTTTCTTATATATATCTTTCGAACATGACTACCATTACCATAGATTTTCCGTACACCCTTCAAAGCTTCGCTCTCATACTTTCTCGCGCGACTATTGAGAGCTATTACGCTTTTCATCCACAAAATTTCTCGCGGACATTGATTTCCAATCGCTCTCCGTAAATGGTGTGTAGCTAAATTCCAATGACTATTCTCCTTCACACAGGATGCAAACAATATGGGACTCGGTAGCACACACTCGTGACAATACAGATCATCGTCTGTATCTGGAAAATCGTAATAATACAGATCACTGTCCGTACTTTCGTTCAGACTGTTATCGCTTGACATATCGCGTGTTCGAAAAAACAATGCGTGAAGAACCTTACCTCGTACGCATTTATATATCGTTCAAATCATCGGAAACGTGAACAAAACCGCAACTCCGTCTTATCGTTTGTAAAAAAATAAAAGGTGTGCGCAAAAGGGAGATAGAAACGCATGACGCATCCTATCATCATATTCACAGGACGTGGTATCTCTAAATACACAAGATAACGGAAAGAAATCAATATTGTGTATCTCTACACACACATACACACAGGATAACGATTTATGACGTTATGTGACTGACAAATCCACGTTATTTTGTTACTTGCTTTGAAATCGTGTCCACCGCTTAAATAATTTTAATACATTCTCTAACAATGTTTACTGTGTCTTCCACAACGGAACGTATTAGTCGTATCTAAATTTTTAAGGGGTTCAATGTCTTCGTAATGTATATCGATCGTTTCGACCACAACATCGTCATTGTTCAAAATATCGCTTAACCACTCCCGCTTTTCAGATCCTTTCACATATACGATAGCTTCGCTCTCCCCTAGCACAGCTTCCGAAATCAAACGCTGTGCCATACGGTATGGTACCACGCCATCGTTCCATTGTAATCCGTGATGATGTGACATCAACCACGAAGCATGCGACTGATCGGATTTCGTTAAGAAACGCCACGGCATGGGACCCGTAAAGATATAGTGCGTCAGAGTATTCCCATTTTTCAACACTGCTATTTCCTTAACGACGAATCGTTTATCCACGACGAACCCTTAAAACATGCACAATGATTATGACGAGTTGCAAAAATAAGCAAGAGACAAAGTAATAAAAAATATTTGTAAATCGACGAACGTCGGCACCATAATAATGAGTGAGATATGTCGTCGCAAACGAATACTAAAGAAATATCATAATTGTGCGGTGTGTCCCTTTTATATCATGTCCCCGTTGAGGATGTGGTGTATCTCTACTTCTCTTAGCAGACAAACGGATGCGCAATCACAAGTAAAAAAACGAAAAATGTTATAGATATATGTAAATATACGATTATATACGATATTGATATAACGTTTTTTTCCCTCTCTTCCTTTTTTTAATAAACGTTATTTATTTCCTTCGTCGTTCCTGGTACCTTCCTCATATCGTCAGCTACACAATCCAAAAGCTGATTCACCATTTGCTGCTTACGATCTCTGGGGGAAAACGTCAAAAACTGTGTTTTCAATTTTGCATGTTTCCACCATTGGCGTTTTTCCTTATTTTTAATATCATGAACATCATACACATCTAGACGCATCAGCCGATGTCCAGTTTGCCCTCCCGGAGTTCCCACGGTGTAAAGACGACCATTGTCCAATTTTGTAACGTATTGGGATATTCCGTCGGTTTTCTGCTTCGAGGTTGAAGCAAAAAGCGCATCCATACCACCTTTAGGTGTCAATTCTGGTGACGATGTGAAAATCTCGCAATCGACGATCGATGTATTAACAGACGTCGATGTTTGACGTTTAACAAACTCCTTAAGATTGTGCAACCATTCGAAGAAAGTATTCGTCGTCATGAAATCTTCCATAAACACGGAACGCAAGTATTTGCTCTCGGGGGTAGAGAAAAACTGATTCAACTCTTCCATAGAATAAATAGAATTCAACATACCCTTTTTCTTCAACACTTCCAAAAAAGACATTAACGCATCCTTCATCTTTGCCTCCCTCATACGTATCGTGTTCGGGTCAATTTTTCGCTGATTCAACATATATGTCTGTATACATCCAATCATCATTCTCAGATTTTTTATAAAGAACGTATTCGTAATCCATGTCTGATATATTAGATCGATTAAAGAACCCATATATGTTTCGCCCAATGCATCTTGCTCCTCGTCTAATAGTTCTTCGACAAAATGCTCGGAAGATTTCGTCGGTTGATTTAAGATCGGTAGCTCTTCGACGTTTTTACTTCAAGACTCCATCGTATGAAAAAATAATAATACACGTTCAACTCGCAAAAAATATGTACGAAAAAAAGCCTCGCCGTACGCATTTATATATTGCTGATCATCGGAAATGTTAAAACCACGATCGAAAGAAACCAATCGTCACATCCTGCAGGAAGGTATCTTTTTATCGCGATACAAAACTGTGTAAAAAAATGTAATAAAAAACGTAAATACAAAAAATCGTGATCATCGTAGAATGTTAATAAAACGCGATAACAATCGAAATGTTACATAAAAAATCGCAAGAAAAGTGGCGTAGGTGTGAGAGAAGACGCGTTGATGGGGTTGGAAAGGGTAAAACACTTCACGTTCCATCGCTCTTATCGCACGGATGTGGTATCTGTACCACATCGCAAGGAGACAAAAAACGGAAAAAACATAGATAACTGTGTAAAAATACAAAAATTTTATGGAAAGTGCGACAAAGAACGCGCTGATAGCTTGGAAAGATAATGTTTTTTCTTATATTCCGAATACTTCTTATCACATCCTTAAGGATGTGGGATGTCTTTTAAAAACTGTACAAAAAATAATAAAATGCAATCATAAGTAATAAGGTACAGGTTGGATGTCGAATGAGTTTCTTCGAGAGTTTCTTCGATATGACGTGCATTGGACTAATCACGAATATATTAACATACATGTTTTTTTATTTGCAATATTTACAATGTTTTATTTACATGTTTAGAGCGATACATATTACTAATACATTGTTTTTTTAGTGAACGTATTAAAATGTTGAATTAGGCGGTTCGCGCGGGAACCGATACACATTCGTATTGAAAAAAATTCCGAATCAAGCGGTTTTTCGCAAAAAAGAGCGATCGCGCGAGAGAGCGGGAGCGAGCGAAAGAGAGAGCGGGAACGAGCGATCGCGCGGGAACCGAGTCGTCGCGCGGGAAAGTCGCGGAGCATTCCTCCTCAGTCGCGCGCCTGCCTTCGATCGCGTCGGATCGCCGTTGCCCGCTCACCTCGCTCAACGCCACGGAACGACCGACGGGATCGGGGCTCCGAGGGGACCGCGCGCGCACACACACACCAACGTCCCGGTACGTTGGTGAGCGCACGCACACCAATGTCTCGCGGGGGTCGGGGCTCGGGAGGAAAACTGGACAGAGGTGGGGTAC